AAATGAGGCTAATGGGACTAAGATTGATTACGTGCATGGTTTGACAGCAATTGAGAGGTCAGTGTTTGGGCGTGATTTCATCGAGGAGTGGTATCAGAATGTTGCACGCATGTACATGAGTTATTTGTCAGGTACTGCTCAGCTGGTACGGCCAACGTTGGTATTGTGCTTCCCGATATGCACAAGTCGGATCTTTTCAAGACTGTTGTTCACGACGGTGCGCTACCTCGGAAGACCTTCAGCATGGGCGAAGCTGACGAGAAGCGATTTTATTACGAGTGCAGGAAGATCCGCAAGGACTGAGATCTGCCGCTATCCCGTGTGAGAGGAAATTATTCATAAAATTGTCTATTCTAGCTATATGTAGATTGTACTCACTCATCCATCCTGTAGTTGCAAACTTTTTTCTGCGTTTACTAGGAGGTCCTTGTCATCATTAATGCTGTGTGCTTCGTGATGTTATTCACCTGCTGAATCGTCGCTATCACTCTATGGTAGGAGTATTTTTTATAGTTGATTTATCATCTGTCAAGACTATAGTGTCAGTGTTGTGATGGTATGTGGTAGTAGGCGTAAAGCCGAGTTTATCGAGGTTGTGGCAGTTTCATGTGAAGTTGAGGCGTTCGTTTGAGTTTTCACGCGAGTATGACAACTATGTGTTGGTTCATATAGCCACCAGCTGGGAAATGGAAGGATGTTTTCACTGGTTCAATGGAGTTTAATCACCGGTTTTACGTGAAGTGGCGTAAAACTCGGTGAAAAACGCGATATTCGCGGCCTGTAGTAGTCGTGAAATATGTTATTCATATTACTAGGGTGGTGAAACTCCAATAAGTTTCCTTGGCGTGGTATCAAGGTTTATATTTCTCAGCTGAGTCGGAGCACCAAGAGCTGCGGAAACGAAATATTCGTCTTAGTTGATATTATCAAACACGAGGAGGACCGCTTCCACTACACCTCTTCCCGTGCAAGTTGACAAGTGAGCAGACAAGAATGACAATGTTACAATCAACGACTTTGAGAATCCAAGTTTGTCACTTGTCTACTTTGTGACAACGAAGTTTGACGCCGTCAAATTGACGGTGTGAATCCATGTAAGTATTGCTGGAGACGCGACCAACAGCTAGGAACATGAGCGTGTCCATTGGGGTTTCACCGGTTTTACGTGAAGTGGCGTAATACTCTGTGATAAACGCGATATTCGCGGTTATATGCAGTAGTCGTGAAGTATGTTTTTCACTAGTGTTTTTCATATCACTAGGGTCGTGAAAGCCCATCGAATGGAGATGCTTTGGGTTTGCACAGTCGTGATGATTGAGGGCTGGTTATGTATCATACTTCCGTTGGGATTCCGAGTTGTTATATCTGGACGTTCCTCTCGTACGACTGCTCGTGTTGCCGAGCTTGGGGCTTTCACTGTGCCGAAGTGTTACGAGCTTTTTATGACAACCATGCAGTCAAGTTGACTTCGTCTGTTGCAATGACACTCCTGCCCGGTATAGCCGATCTCGAAAGGCGACTCAATTTAGTAGTGGAAGGGTGTCGAAGGACAGACAACGTGGAAGCAGCCTCAAAAACGAAGGTTAGTCCTAGGCTTGTAGTTGTATGTTACCGATTACGCAGCCAAGTGAAAAGGATACATTCGTCGTGTTGAAGACAGAGCTGTTGGAGCTCATGGGGAGGGTGCGAGAACTCCTCGAAGAAAGGAAGAAGGTGATCAGAGTGATCTGGCTATGGCTCGGGGAAAGTCTTTTCCGGATAGTTTTTATGGTTTTTGATTTCTATCAGCTCGGCAAGCATGAAAAGAGTGGCAGTAGTAGTTCACAGTACGTGAAGCTCTCAGTGCGGTCACGAACTTTGATTGAACAGTGTCGAGCGAGGACGATGCACTTACGGCAGGTTGTACAGTGAGGGACGACTTCTGGTGATGTCGGCCTCTTGAACTACTCATCGGTGTGTTCGTATTCTACTACAAGGGTATCGAATCGCAGGTTGTAGTTTCACCCTAGTGATATGTAAGGCACTAGTGAAAAATATATTTCACGACTACTGCGTAGCGCGAATATTTTACGCCCACTTCACGTAAAACGGATTGTGAAACTCCATTGGTGAGAGCAAACGCGTTTGTCAGGTTCTGCGGGAGCAGTGTGCTCGTGCTAACGCAGTAGGGCTGAGGCTGAGTGCAAGGCTCAGTGAAAGAGAATTGGATCGGAGGCAAGCCACATGGGTAGCCTTCACGGCATCACAAGGAGAGTAGGTATGATCAGCTGTCGGCCATTGGTGAATTCCTGGAGACTTGTTCGAAGTGTATGAAGGACTCATCACAGGTAGGAGGCTTTTGGGGAAGGGTAACCGAATTGCATCTGATGATGATGATGGAAAAATTGGTGGTTTAGAAGAGTCCTTATTTGACTATCACGGATAGGATTTAGATCTGTATGGACTCTCATATGGCTGGGTAAGAGTCGAACTGCGTTTGCCCCACTGCGCTATGCGTGGGAGCAAGTGCTTTATGGCTTCTGAAATCCGGGGCTGAGCCGATCGCGTAACACTCGGTCGCAGGTCGAATTTTCGTGTGTCATGAGGTACCGAATTTTCCTCCGGAGCTCTCCGATAGCGATACGGATGTGAGGAGCGCTCGCAAGAAGTTGTTCGATGATGGAGTCTCACATACGTCGTTACGGGAGAGCCGGCATAGGGTGAGATGCAGTTTTGGAATATATGCTCGCTTTCCTCAGCTGAGCTCAATAGTTTCCACGCAAACTATACGAGTTTGCATGCGAATTTTGATGGGAGTAGACAGAAACCAACAAGAATTTCGCAAAAATTCCATATTGTCACCAGCACATGTAGTTGACCATGTGCATATCCCTTGGTGTTAGGACTCCCTTGAGGCTCATCGGGCTCCATCACATCGCATAGGAGAGTTCTCACCAGAAGAGGGGGAGGCTATGGAAGAGTGGACTATGAGGATGGATGATATCGATCAAGGTATTTCACTGAATGAGTCCTAGCATATACGACTAGTAAAAGTGGCGGAGGGTCTTCCATTTCATGGAAAGAAAATCACTTCGCTCCGCTCATTGAGTTTGCGTTTGAACGTAGCTTAGTCTTCATAAGAAGCTTTACGGCTTTGATTACTTCGGCACTTGTTGAGTGCGAAGTCTACTACGACTTCCCTCTAAAAAAGAAGTTTACAGAGTAGTGCAGAGAAAAGGCCCCTTTGAAATTTTGTGTTGCGTGGCAATTGATAAACGAAATAGTAACATTCGGGAGCTCTTTTCATGTTGTACATGTTAATGTCACTGTCCATGTTGCTCAAACGGTTCTGATATTCGAATGCAGCGCTGGGGTATCGTCTAACGTAAAATCGGCTACATTTTGTTCATTAACTGTCACGCACTGCGGAATCACACAGGGTGGGTTTTCTTTTGTAGCACCCGCCGGTGACGTTATGGTGAGAATTTGTGCATGCGTGCAGCTAGATGTACTCACTGCGGTCTGGGAAGATGAGCCGACACAACGAAACTGTTTTATACATTACTCGTGCCGAATTACAATCTTACATTTTCCGTGAAGAACTCGAGATTAATATATTAGCTTTATGATTCCTCAGATATTGACGACATTGATGTGATGGTGGATCGGCTACGAGAGGTAGCGGTTGAGATTGGCGAGGCGGGGAAGCGACACTCTGAACTGATCGAGAGGATAAGGCAACGCAATGAGGATGTGGACGGGGGCATTCGGGTGGGTTGTTGATGATGGAAGTGAGCAGTATGCTCGTTGAGACTCTCGAAAAAGTGACGGTTGCTTTGGGCTCTTAGTGTGAGTCGGTTTTTGTTCATAATATTGTAGATGGCCCCTTCTAGTAACCGTTCCGAACATGACCGTTTCGACTCAACATGTGATGTATCATGATAATAAGTATATCCTGTTAAAGTTTCAGCTCAAAACTCTTATTCGTTAACGAGAAACACAGATTTTTTTTTGAATTTGCCTGAGAAAAAAATACGCTCCTTATTTGGAATCGTCAGTTTTCATGTTGGAGCTCCTGACGATTCTTTGAGCGTCGCCGTAAGCGTGTATATCACTCGGGTTTCTGTCGCGGAGTGGTACAGTCCTATGACCAGTAGCTGTACAATACAGCTTTTGGTGGGAATGCAGGCGCCGAGTGAATATCGGCATCATACACCAGTAGTGTCATGAAATGTCGTAGAGGCTCTGCAGTAGAGCATATCCTCACGCGGGAGATGTGCTACTTTTCGGTCACGTTAAGCTGAAGGATTATTGCTGAGCTTTCGCCCATCAAACGTATTGGCTAAGTTCAGGCCGTAAGTGAGAGAGTAAGGAAGATCGTGTTCACCGAGAACAAGAGTGCTATGACATGTCGCATCATCCTTGGTTTGCTCCTGCTTGTTATGGCTGGTTGGATCTACACTAGAGTGAAAGACTAACATCACAAGTTGACGTTGCATGCCGTACACGTCGGTTGATGTTCTCGCTCTACGGTATGGCTTGCGTTTTTGGCTGACTGCATTTCTGAGGTGAAATATCGCGCGAATGTTAATCGTATCTTACTGGAGTTTTTTCACCCGTTTTACGTGAAGTGACGTAGTGATCTATGCGAAAAATGTGATACTCGCGATGTGAGGGTAACTGAAAACACTTCGGGAGTTCCACACGTCACGTGTTTACGACTACTGCTTACGGATCATTGTTTATTGCTCACGGGCGTTTTTCGCGGAGTGAAATGTGAAATATTTTTTCACTAGTTTTTTTATATCACGGGTGACACTCCACAGTGCTCGAGTGGGATGCTGGGGAATGGCAATGACGTCTTAGAGAGGTCGCTGTTGACTTCTCGGCAGATGGAGAGCTCCAATATAATGTTATTCAGCCCCCAGTGTGTCAGCATCCTGTGACCTGCTATATGGAGTGTATTTTTTTTAAAGGCGAATTCGAAAAATCTGCGTTTCTCGTCAACGAATGAGAGTTTTGAGCTGAAACTTTAACGGAGCATAGATATAATGATTAGCTATCATGTACTGGGATGAAATTGTAATATTCGGAACCGTAATAAATTGCCCATCTGGGTAGAAGATGGGCCCTTAAGTACTACTCCCTTCCCACTAGGACTGTTTATTCGTCGGGTTGGAGCGGCAAGTGGATTGCTCTGAACTACGGCTCTTTAGGGTCCGTTACACCTCAGCTGAGATGAGGGGCCGGACCAGCGACCAGAATTCACCTCCTTGCTACTGCGGGACATTTGGCAGTTTTTGAGGTGCTACGAAAACGAGGAGCATGCCGACGTATGGGATGCCATGGCGAATGTTGTCTCCGCGTTGGACACGAATTTCATGGGATTCGGCCGAGGTGAGGAGATGAACAAATTAGTAGGAGGGTTCATAGGAGGACCGTTGACTGTATTGGTTTGGAAGCCCCAGCTAGTGAGGAGTCCCAAACTCGACAGCTCCGGAGTACTCTGGTTCACCCGACTTGTCAGCGTACTCGGTCTTGCTTCCCTCCCTGCTGATATACATAAGTTCTGGCGGGCGGTGGCGACTTATGGACACCCCTGTGCGGATAGCGCTATGATATTACCAAGATTGAAGTGGTTGATGTTTATGCTCCATTGGGCTATGTGAAAAACAGTCGTTTGAGGCGTTGGGCTCTCGAGTGAAGTCTAAACCCCTCGAACAACTACTATACAGTGATGGCTTCCATGCGCGCATCCTCCCCTCAAGGGCAAGAATACTGCCTGGAATTTTCTGATAATCGATCACGTGTTCATCACTGCTGCCATCAGTTTCTATTCGTGTGCTGATGGCAGTACTGATGCCTCAGGGGTAGATATCTTAGAGTGTATGCGGACCGGGAAGAAACTCTATTTGGTGAGGGTTGCCTTTGTGACGGTTTGTGGACTTGTCGTTCCAGATCGGCCGCTGGTTGTCGCAACTGGCAGTGGAACATGCTCGCGAATCTAAAGTCACCAAGGAGGCATTCTGAGCTGAGAGAATAAGCACAGCTCTATCTGGGCCCCGATGTTTTCTACGCTACCGTACGTCGCATTTTCTACATGAGAGAAGTTTCAATGGGTTGAATGCTGTTTCCGGTTTGCTCATTACCGACACTTCTTTTCACAAGATAATATTCCCTCTAACAGATGACGGTCTCTCCAACACTACGGATATCTCGCTCACTAGGACGGCTTCCGTCAGATCCCGAGGCCTTGGTAGCTTTCGTAAAGCGGTCCGTATCGCATAAAGTGATGGACGCGTCGATGTGGAATGGCATTGCCTCGCGTTCGATGGCTATGGGAGACGTTCTTAGTGGGCATCAGTTCACTGCTGTGGTGCGAGGCTTCAATAAGATGAACTTCGGCCACAGCGATATGTAGGGCATCAAGGTGAGTTCTCCTACTCTACAGTGTTCTTCAGTTACCCCTTTCTTGAGTCGTTCGTTCCTCCAAGATTACCGCGGTTCACACCAATAGAGCTTTCACATCTCATTGGTGGATATGTCCACGTGGCTCATCGTGGCGACGAGGGCTTTTTGAAAACGTGTGCTGACGATTTATCGTGTGATAGAAGGAAGTTGGCGAGCAGCGCGGGTAACGTACATGGACAGAACGACTGGTGAGCTTCTGTGCGAGTCGGCCTCTCCCCCTTTGATGAACTCAGGTATGCTTGGGAGAATCTTTTGGTCGCGTACGGAGATGCAGGCGTGAAGCATAAGAAGCTCTTCGAGACGGCTGCGCCCAAGCTATATGATAGTGTCAGTTTATCACTGTGGTGGTTTATTGATTCAGTCGTTACATCAGGTCCATCTGTTGAATGGTAGGGATTGTGGTCGCATATTGGGAGCGCTTATCAAGTGTGGATTCGTACATAAGAAACTTGTGACGCTGATACGCAAAGCCTTGCCAACCATCAGCTGCAGTAAGTCCCGTCTACAATCCGCTGGTGTTATTATTGCTCTCAGTGAACAGTATCGTAATTGACTAAAATTCACGAGGCTGTTGGCTCAGGTACGGAAGAACTACAGGAGATTTGTCGGTTATTGAACAGCATGGGAATTCATGATGATTTTGCTGAGAAACTTTTGCGATATCGCAAGGCGGAAGTTTTAGAAGATGTCGTTTCGTGACAAAGTCAACCGCTCGGATTGCGTTTGATCACAGTGAAACTATATGGTCGCAGCTGAATGCTCTGACCGTCAATCGGGGAACAGCAGGCATCATCACCATGGGTGAGGACTGGGGGAGGCCTGGAGTCCCCTGACCCACGGTTAGAGTGAGGGATCGGAGAGGGAGGGAAACGGATAGGGATGTCAGCACGAGAGGAGCGACTGCATCTAGTGGCCACGCCTTCCCCATTTCTCCCTCTCCGAGTGAGGCGGTGTAGGAAATTCTGGAAAACATTTTGGAGGCAGAAACCTTGTTGAACACGCGATAAAGAGAGCTGCTGACAAGGCACAGGATTTACAGTAATTTGGACGGTTTTTCTACATGAACATCAACAGCTCAACAGTTGTTCTCTAAATCCCACCGTGCCAAGGACTTGAACTCAAAGCAATAACTCGACTATCATCATGACAAAATCTGACAGTCCATCACCGAGGTACCTCTAAGACGAAGTAACCATAGGGAGACCCGCGAACCAATGTATACAGTATAGTAGCGCCTGGTAGGCCGCATGTATGACAGATATGCTCAGCTGTTGACTGCACACTATATTTGTCTAAATACTCGCTTTCACGATCCACACACAGCAGTGCTCTGGTGCTACCAACATTCGATTCTCGAGCACACATATCAAGAAGACAGAATTCCAGCATCTCTTTCGTCTTATCAACGAGCGTTGGGGTGACGCGGAGTCCATGGGACCATTGACGAATCTTCGTTATTATGCCATCGACTTCAACGAGGGACGGGCCGGCTCTCTCCCGAGTGATATTGACAGTCTCTGGCAGACCATAAAACCTAACTAGATGCGTCCTGAATACCAAAAGCCCATTGAGCTTCTCACCGAGCATCTCTTTCGACATCAGCTAGGGGGATAGAGCGTGGTACTAGAATAGCATCAGTGGGATCTCGGAGCCATCGTAAAATGAGACGGAACACATCGGGGTCTCGATCGATGAAAATTGTATTTCCGGCTTGTGGCCTCCAGACGTCTCGGGCCATGACGGCCAACATGGTCCCTTCTTGGCGCATCAGCGTGGACTCGGCGACTTCGAAGAAAGTGCCACCCACATTGAGTCGAACCGATACAGTAGAAGCCATAACTTTACCCGGCAGACAGTGACTGTGAGCAGCCAACAGCGCTAGACCCGCCCCCACCACTGCATTTATCAAATGCCATTTAATTGACCAGCAACACGTGCCAGAGTGGTACATGATCTCATCGACAGTCGATGCGTTTTCACATGCTGATCTGCGTTTCTCGCGAATGCTTGAGCCTCGTCGCTCTACTGACAGCTTCTCCACTCAAGCCACCCAGAAGGAAGGCCCATATACTTCACCTGAATAGAATTGAAGACACATTGCACTCGTCGTAGGAAGATGGCACCGGTGGTAGACAATTGCTTCTAGTATCCACTGCTGATACCGGCAAGTCACGAACCTGTACAGTTTTTATCGTCGCAAACCGACCATCGCTGTTTCTCTCACCCATCCCTATTCCGTATCAAGTGAAAATTATGGCTTGATGAAAGAGTTCACACCATCATCACCGGCCTCATAAAAGGAGTCCCCGATGCACAGGACCAAGCCGACCTTGATTGCCAGTGGCAATTCGCC